CTGGCCCGCTCAGCAGCCTCGACGTCCTTGGGGTCGTTCTCGTCATACGGCTCGGACCAGTTGCCGTGCAGGGTGATCATGATCTTGCCCCGCTGGGTAGGCTGGAAGTCGCGCTTGTACATCTCGCACACATACCCGTGAGACACGAGCTCAGTGTGCGCCACGATGAAGGGCTCAGTGGAGGAATCGCCCTCCTCGTTCAGCTCCCGAAAACTGGACCTTGCCGGGGCGTGCACACCGGCCGCGTAGCCGGCGAGGGTGTAAACGCCTGGCTCGTTGTACGTGATCCAGCTTTTCACGCGGTCGCCAAATGCCTCGAAGCAGACCCGTGCATAACGCACGAAATCAGGCGTGTACTTCTCCTTGTCTAGCATACCGCCGTAGCGGTCTTCAAGCGACTGCGGCGTATCCCAGTGAAAGAGCGTGACGAACGGCGTTATGCCGTTGGCGAGCAGCTCGTCAATGAAGCGGTTGTAGAAGTCAATCCCCTCCTGGTTGACGGGATCATCCTTTCCGCCAAGGGGAATGATGCGCGACCACGACAGTGAAAACCGGTAGGCAGTGACACCATACGACTTCATCCGCGCGACGTCTTCCTTGTAGAGGTCGTAAGACCTCGTGGCGTCATCCGCATTGCTTCCGTCGTGGACCTTCCCGGGCGTGTGCCCGAACTTGTCCCAGATGCTGATGCCCTTCCCGTTCTTGTCCCAGGCTCCTTCTATCTGGGGCGCGGCCGTAGCGAAGCCCCAGTGGAAGTCTGGAGGCAGTGCCCCTCGGATAGACTGGTCGAATGTGAACTGGGGGGATGTCATGTTGTGTGGTTTGAGGGAGAACGGTAGGGAATCTTACCAGTGGTGGGTTGCTTGCGACGATTGCTTGTGGTCCACCGTCCAAGTTATAATCTAGACAGCTTCCAAGTGAGCGCCGGGTGTAGGAGCTCTCGCTTGGGAGGGCCGGTTTGCCGTGATGATGTTGTTCGCGGATAACTGGGGATGTCTGGAGTATTATCCCGTCGGGTGAGACTTCGTCACCTGTTGGGGTAGAGAATGAAGCGAAGGAAGATGGTGATTGGACGAAGGCAGATACAGGCATTTTCCTTGGTGCGAATTTGCGAATTGTGGGCTTAGACTAATGTCAGACGCTCCAATCGCAAGAGAACGAGAACGAGAACGACACTGGTATAGTACCGGGGATACAGCGGCCGGAACTGGACCCTATTGTATGAGCATAGATCCAGCATGCCATTGGATGCACGTCCCATGATGCGAAAAGCTCTATCCTGCCATTAGCCCACCGCCTCACAAGAGCATGGGCAATTACAACTCTACCTCCCCATAACCCACATACTCGCAACTTCAGTGAACCACTGAGGCTGACGGACTAGCACTCAGTATTGAGACCTTGCCTATTCGACGAACATGTACCAGCGAGCACTGACCAGCTACATCGCCTTGCGCTGACCACTTCGTTCTGAGCAGACACCAACACTGTCACGCTCTCAAACACTCGTCTACTCGATGGCCTGGGTACTTATCTCAAACCTTAGTGGATTGGCCAACCAAGTTCTCTGGCAAGATTTAGCTGTGACCCCCGTTTTGAGAGAGATGTATTGACGGAAAATCAGATAATTGCAGCATCTCAATGTGTTGTCCGTGGAGACCATTATATCTGCACGAAGGGGGGGTGCATGTAGGAATGACCAGTGAGCGGTTACCAGTGCTCGTCTATATATACCGAACCGTCTCTAAATTGGCCAGTTCAACGGAATTAGATATCTCGTGTTGGCTCTCAGACGCAGTCGCTGGTGTACAATTGCGCAAGTCAGTAGATGTTACTTAGGTTTCCGTTCGTACCGGTTTGTTCGACGTGGCTGGTATGGGCAACTGCATACATATTATTGGACACTCGGTATGTCCGATATCAACAGTGACAAGCAGTTTCCTTGCAGGATCACGTCGGGGAGACTTCTGGGATGGACCGGACGGTTGTCAATGGCATATGAGGCGGTGAAGTGGACGGAACTATGACAGGACGGTTGGGTAGGGGGCCCTGCCGCGTCGGTACGCTAACTATGTTAGGTCCGGCTGGTCGGCTACTGATGTAGCACGAGACTCTACGAGACTTCCTTCAAATCCTCCAGTCCCAGTTGGCAAGTGATAACTTCGCCCGCGCGTAACATGTGGGCTTCGTCACCCTTTGTGGTGGAGATTACTTGGAAGCCAGCTCTTGTAGATTGTTAGATGTCCTGAGGGTGGACAAAGGGGTAGTTGATGAATTGGTTCCAGTCGGAGCAGCCGGGAGGAAGTATACAACTTCCGTGTAAGAGAGGGAAATCGGAAATACGTAGTTGACAGGGGATTTCGTCTAGCTCGAAAATGTCAGCAGGCTGCTAGGGCTGTAAAATATCGAAAGGATTATGCAAGACCATTTCAGCAGACACACTACTCCTCCTACCTGGTCTCTCTCGATTGATAGCCGTGACTAGCAAGATGAGATGGAAGATTTCGTGATCGACTACCGTCTTGGTCCTCTCTTCAGAAACATGAAATGGCATAGCGCTAACGGGATGAGAGTTGCCCTACACTTGTTGAAAGTTTTAACTCGTTTGCATTATACTCAGAGACCCACCATAAAACGTAAGAGTCTAGGTCGTGAGCTCCGGCTGGCGCTCCGTAACCCCCCGGGGCAAGGGGGGGAAGTGGCACTGCGTCCCCCGAGGGGTCCCACGCACGCACGTACACCCATTGTCAGCTCGTTCCCCTGGCTGCAAGAACGAGTCACTTCAGCACCCAGCAACACCAATCGAACAAAAGATCAGCCATTTTCTTTCGGGGACCCGCGACTAGCGCTCTGTGCTACCATGGTGTCGAGTTCTGCGACGCTGACCGGCTCACGATAGCATTATCTAGATGTAGACCTGCGGCGGCGGGCGCAACAAGTGTCACGACGAAGCGCAAGCTTCGGCGATTCGCGAAGCAGGTTGCATTTTAAGCTGCCAAGTAACACAAGTTCCTCATATCTTCAACGCCGTGTTACATGCCAGGCAGATTCGCTTCTGCACGGTGTTATAACCGACCGTGACGACGCTGCCGAGTCTGCGGCTGTACCCCAGTTTTGGACAATATGACAAACCAACCTATTCGCTGACATGTCGATTTAAGGCACAGCATGCGGTGCAAACAAGCTTATGGGACTAGCGGCCGCTTGCGAGCCGTCCTACGCCGTGTCAGCACCTTAGCTGCCCGAAGTCTATGGTGACATCAGAGTTCAGCTCATCGACAGTTTGCTTGAGATGGACCAATAAAGACACCTGACGAACTGGGAGTTTTACGAATGCGTCGGATACTCCGCGCCAAGCTCATAGAACCAGTCGAGCGGGGGAAGAAACTCCCCCGGGCTATTTCCGTGGGAGAACCGTACGAGAGGAGTGATGCCAATGCAATCTCCAATGTGCCCTAAGGTAAGCCCAACGTCTGGGAATCGTTTGCGCGTCGGTCGAGAGAAAGTCAGGCGCTCTAGACGCCAGAAAAGTAATGTGGTCTCGCGCTGCCAAACGCGGGCTGAACTAGATTGTTCCCCCTATCCCTATTTTCTGATCCTTCCCGTGTCTACCTCGAATTCTTCCGACTTCCGCAAGGCGAACATGAACCCCGCTGAATGAGGAAGTATCTCCATATGAAGGCAACCAAAGGTCGGCGAGGTAGTCGGCGAGGTAGACGAATGCCAAGGAAAGGCGGGCTCGGTGGCGGTCATGGTCCATGCAGTCAAGCGGCGAGAGTATCACTCGGTGAAGACAACTGGCCGTGCGTGTCCAAACGACGGAAACCCTCTTTTCATACACTCCGAGGACTCGCGGAGACGTTGAACAATGCAGATGGCTTTCCAGGTGCCCTTCAAGGTCTAGAAAGTAAAGTCAAGCCGCACGATGTCCCAGTCCGATCCGACCGGATTTCTCTATAAATACGTGCTCCCCAACTCTCCTAGGAGCTTCCATTCTTCTCACCACCCAAGCTCAACATACTCATACTACACAGGACTCTCAAGAGATCTATATCAATCTCACAACAATCTGCAATGTAAGCGGTCCTCTCACACTGATATACCACAACCTCTTCCTAACCCTGTGACGTGTCACCATCTAGAACAACAAGCTCCCCAAGCCATCATGATGTACACCACGAAGATCTTCGGCCTCGTCGCCAGCCTCGTCATGCTCACCAACGCCACCCCGGCCGCCGCCCGCACCTGGGCCGGCCCCGTCCACATGGATGCCGCCTGCCAGGAGCAGAACTCCGGCGAATGGTGGCAGGCCATCCGGAGCGGCAACGGCGCCAACGACTGGTACTGCTACAACCCGCGAGATGGCAAGACCACGCCGGTCGATGTCGGCAGGTTCTGCCGCGTCACGTACGGCGGCAACGCCTACGCCGATCCCCAGGGTGGCGGTGCTTTCGACTGGGGCTGCTACTACCCCTGAGCAAGTCGCTCTGTCCAAATTTGGTTGTCAGTATGCGGTGGATGGGTTGTGGGTGTTGTTGGGGACTGCTTAGAGGGCGGGGACTAGTTTCGTTAACTGCGCGGAAAGGAGTATAACCAGAAAACAGTGGCAATGAGAGTCGAGTGCGGGATCATCGAGCAGTCAGGCGTCATAGGTCTCTAGTATGATAGCCAGAATACAGACCGCACCTTTCTTGCCATACCTCCTCCCGTGTATTGCACGTGAACAATTGGGTGTCTGGGTTTCGTACCAGGAGTTACATCAATTCCGCCAGTCTCCTACTTGCCTCAGTCATGACTCTAACATACCCAACTCCAGTTGGTAAAGCGTTCAACGAAACGACCTGGAATCAATTCCTTTCCTGTGGAGACGGGAGTCCTATAGTTCACTCTTGCTGTCCGTTTTCTTCACGTTCCCGAGTCAGTTCTCTAGCCATCCACCAACAACACACAAGCATTGAGCGGAATTCTGGGGACGTCTACCAACAACTCCTGCATTGCAAGCGCCGGTGGTTTAGTGGTAAAATCCATCGTTGCCATCACAACTCGAGTCTCCTGAACTTAGTATGTAACTTCGATGGGCCCCGCGTTCGATTCGCGGCTGGCGCATTCATTTTTGCTTTTTCATAACACAACATTTGCGTAAAGATGTTTGTAAGTCGGTTGCAACCGATGTTGATAACCTAACCATCTAAATTGGAGGAACTACTCCATGACGGTACCACTCGCATGTCCGATCTAGGAAGCAGAGTAGATGTCCTGACGGTGCATTGGGATGTCACGAACTATATAGCGAGACCTGACCTCCCTTATGCTATCGAGCTCATACTGATCGTACTCCGCCTCCAACCCTCGATGGTGAGACTGCCATCTTCCAGATCAACCTTCCTCTCACTGCTTCCCGTCTCTTCAACGGCCACCAACACGCGTCGTATTGCCGCGGCAATCTTTAGATCCTATTGGGCCTCATCAACCAAGTCCAGCTTTAGTTGCTTAACAGGGTGTGGACCATCTTATAAACCTAGTTGGAACGAGCAATTCTCTTTCATGAAAGTACTTTCCTTCCTCTGCAGGTCCGCACACACTCGGTGCAACTACGTGTGGTCGTCGGATCATGACAATCTAATCACTCATGTTTGTGTTTGGTAAATGCTGGTTGGTGCAGGACTCCGTTCCAACTCTCGTGGAACAAATTACGGGCCTAGAGCCAACCCAACGTACTTGTCTCCACCAGACCGGTTGTGTTTGATGTTGGTCCGCACGCATGTTGGCCTCCAATTAAACCGTTATTACCTTACGCTGCCGTCCGTTGAAACCCCTTTTGCTTGAACGAGGGAATCCACTTCCGAGCGACGAGCGGCGTTTGGCCGATGGGCCATGACGATTTGACTCCCGTCAACAATACGCTTGCCTCTTCCCATAACCAAGACCATCAGCCGCTTCATAAACCGACGAACGATCCACCGAGAAGAGGTTTTGTTTTCGGGGATCGTCTAGAGAAAACACGCTCTACATCATCCAAACACCTCAATCATGGGAGACGCGGGTTCTCTACCTGGTCTTCCGCAGACTACTGTTTTGTTGCTTGGATCCGATCCGTACTACGTCCGCCGCCGAGTCGAGGTTCGTTTACGGCCTCTAGTTAAGGGACTTTCGCTTACATACCCAACAGGTCACATTACCCTCCTCATTCCCGGCCTCACCGTCGGGACGAATCGCACCAGCAACAGTCCTCGACAGTCGCTCTGGCGTCTTGTCACCAGCCACAACTGAGGATTCTTTTGCACAGTTTCTAGAGTCTGATGATGTGTTTCAGTCTGGCTTCACTCAAGACGCTTATCTGATCGTTAAACCGCCACCGACCTTGGCGTCAGCATCTGGTGATGATGTCCCAGCCGACTTGGCTGACTATCTGCAGTCACGTCGTCTGGTTCTTTCCCTCATCTCCTCCGACTGTCTTGACTTGCCCCATGGACCCTACTTCGTCGTGGGCCGCGAGATCCATCAGGCTTGGCGCTTATATACTTATCACCTGGGTGCCTTCGCAACTACTATAATCCCTAATGACACGGTTTCACAAGGGATACACCAGTTTGAATCACTTCAAAGCTCTGTTTTCACCGGCACAGATGCTGCGATTGCCGTGCCTTCGCGTCTCTACTTCCAAGAGAGCGACGAAAAGTCGCTTGCTGGGAGACGGATCGCTGTCAAAGACAACATGCACATCAATGGAGTGGTGACCGGCCTTGGTAATCGGGCCTACGCCGAGCTCTACGGCAAGCAGTCTGAGACCGCGAAGTTCATTCAGCTGCTACTAGATAAAGGAGCAATCCTTGTTGGCAAGACGAAGCTGTCCGCATTTGCAGGGTCCGAGATCCCACCATGTAATTGCATCGATTACTTCCCCCCGTGGAACCCGCGTGGCGATGGATACCAGGGCCCTTCCGGAAGTTCTAGCGGTGCCGGCGCGTCAGTGGCTGGCTATGACTGGCTGGATGTAAGCCTTTGCACCGACACGACTGGAAGCATGCGATGGCCCACGACGAGCCACGGAGTCTGGGGCCTCCGCGCTGCGTGGAACAGCTTCTCAATGGAGGGCGTGGTGCCTGCCGCCCAGTGATTTTCCAGCTGGCTTGAAGATGCACAAGCAGACCATTGACTGGATTTGAAGGGACCTTGACACCTTTGGACTCGTTGCTCGTAGCCCCAGGTCAATCCGGGGTATTGCGGCTGCCGGTGGTGCCCAAAAAGAAGCGGATAACGTAAGTTCCTGCGAGAACTAACCGAAGCTACGAAGTGCTGACGACTGCGTTCGGTCCACTCACAGCGGCCAACAAGAATCCTCTACCCGACGGAGTGGCTACCCTTGACCAATGAAGCGCAGCAACGCATGTCAGAGCTATTCATCGAGGCCCTAGAGAAGCATCTCGGAGTCAGCCACACCACAATCTCCATCGAAGACGAATGGAGACGCACAGGTCCTGAACCCCCGAGCCAGGAGAAGACTGTCCTGCGGAATCAGAAAGTCCGTGTCTCCATTTGTTCTCGTCTTTGCAGATGCCGATGTGGCCGGGCTAACAACTCCGCTTATCGCAGGCTGCAGTTGCTCTCAACGGATATGACAACTACCACAATTTCGACGATTTTCGATCCCAGTACCAAGAAAAGTTTGGCAAGCCGCCCTACGTGAGCCCGTCACACCTAGCAAGATGGTGAGAAGTCGAATGAAATACGAGATGAAACGCCGCGTTAACAGACACTAGGAAACGTCAAGAGAACAAGACAGCCGAGATTCGCGACAGCTCCCTCGAGGAAGTCGTTGCCTTCAGAAAATGGGCACTCGAGAACCTCTTTCCCGTAGGACGAGGCCGGAAACTCGTACACCATATTGCTCGTCCCGCACGGTAGACTGGGGGCCAACTACCGTGACGAAGAAGCGACAAAAGGGTTGGGTTCCTCCTGGCCGCATGCGTCGCTTAACCCCTTTGACGGCTAGAGATTATCTGACCTATTTCGCCTCTAGTGGTGACAAGAGTGGCACAACGAAGCCTGTCTGCAGCTCCATCTTTGTCATCTCCATGATTGGGACACCTCAACTCCTCATCCCAAGTAAGCCATGTGCCCGGAGGCCCCGAAATGATGGCAAGTACTAACTTGGAGCAGTTGGGCAAAATTCATACGAGTCCAGAGTTTCGGGACGGACTGAGTATGCCCCTATCTTCGCCACTATTGTCGGTGGGCCAGGCGAGTTTCCCTCATTTTGCACCCAACAAATATGATCATAACTGCCAGTGGCATCTAACGCGTGGATTCTTAGGTTCTGATTTATCACTACTTCAAACAGGCTCAGAGACTCTGGAGAAAGCGGGCTGGCCAACTACGGTGTTGACCGGAAGATTCATGTTTGACGTCGGCGACAATGAGAGGAATAGCATTGTTCCGTTTCGCGAAGACAAGTTGTCACAACTTGGAGGAAGGCATCCGTAAGCGGGTTTAGCTAGACCAACAAGAGGGGAGCATAAAACAAATACAAGGAGCGGAGTAGAGTCTGTAGAGGCCATCGTCGGGCAGATGTTGTAGGGCATCCCGGAGGAAGTTCAGTACTTGGTCCCAACACAGCGTGGAAGTTTCAAAGAGGTCGGCCGCGAAGAGAAACGGATCGGTAGCACAGAGAGTTTGGTCGTACAGTGACATGGCAGTGTCGTCGAGGGCGCGGGAGGCAAAGGGGTTAGGTCGTAGAAGAATACGGCGGCCGGTGAGCTCAGGGTCCGGGGCAGCATTGGAATCCGTTGCGGTTGACTCCCGGTGAGAAGCATATCGTGCTGAGTCGGGGTCTGATGAGCCGACTGATAGGAATTGGGCCTCCTCAAAATCTCGTCTGGGTGTGCTCCATGGCGGAAGCCCGAGGCTTTCCGACGTCACTCAGCAACACGCCTGATCATCTACCCCTGACGAAGAAAAATATGTAAAGGATGTAGCCTGCTGCTCGACAGTGAACAAGAATCGCCAGTGAAAGTTGATCGCGCGGAAGCATTTGAACCCATCGCGGTCGCCGGCCAAGCATGGTGCTCGGCCAACCGGCTCGCCACACTCGATCGCACCTCTTCGTCGATTGTGGATGGCCTGGTCCGGGGTTGCACATAGGAACCAAGGGTGATGAAGCGTACGGTGGCAAAACGCTTCGGGCGAGATGGGAGGGTGCCAGTAGGGAAAACGGCCGAGGAGCCAAAGTGGAACTGCAAAAGCTCTCGGTCGGCGCCGCAAACTTGGACGAGGTTGCGTAGCGCGGACGAGCTCATGGCGCCACGCACAAGCGTTATGTATCCAAGTCTCCTGGAGCTGATGCGGGAAAGGATTTCGGCCGTGGGCTCGAAATTTTGAGATAGTTCACCGACAATCTTACTTAAGCTTATGTACTGGTTGACAGGTAATGCAAAAGCAACAGGGCTGATAGAAGAGACACCAGTGGTCTCGGCGGCTTCAAGATCGTGGAGAGCATGGTCTGAACTGGACTCATTTGGAGATCGTGATCTCAGCCCCATTGAGGGAGTGGTGCCGAAATGATGGTAGCAGACATCAACAAGTGACCGTGTATTGGTAAGCATGAGGATAAAGAAACGTGAAAGATTCCTGTTTTTTGGTGTCGAAAGTATTCGTGGAATATACATATTTGATTCACGGGTGGGTTGCCTGGCAACATCGGCCAACAGGCGGTAAGAAAGATGGCCAGGTTGCCGCGGAAAGTCTGCCATTCTCAACATCACGGGGGCTTAGACGGTGGCGGTGTGCTAGCATAAGGAGTTCTCACATCCTGTCAAACCTTTATGCCGTAAAGGGGTTCCGACCAAGTGTATTTCCTTGATTGTGATGAGCGAGCAAACATCTGGGACATTCGAGGCTGGCGAGGCACCATTATGCTTATTCTAGTACATAGGAAAGCAGGAATAAAGAGGAGGGCAGCTCCTCCAGGCCGTCTGGTGGGTCATACCCCTCAAATGAGCCCGAGCATGCGGACGGCCCCAGTTCCTCAATGGCGGAAGTGTGTGTAGGGTACCTGACTTTACAGGGGCCGAGTTAAGCCCCTGTCATTCAACAATTCAACAACAGAA